GGCTGGGGTTGGGGGGTTGGGATGGGGTGAGTGGGTGAGATGGGGAGAGGGTATTATGGTAAGGATTCGGGTCGTCCTCCGTGGAGTCAAGAAAAGCAAGATCAGTGGGTGAGACCGGATGGGAGTAGGGGAAGGAGTGCTCATCAAAAATTACATGACGGGAGACGATAATTTTGTGGGTGCGAAGATCAAGGCAGCGGTACCCCCGTTGGTTAGACGGGTACCCGAGGAAGACACAGCGGGCGGAACGAGGGGCGAGTTTGTGGGGTGCTGTAGCAGATAAGTTCGGATAGCAAAGACATCCAAAGACACGAAGGTGAGAGTATGTGGGTTTGTGACCATAGAGAGCTTCGTGTTGGGTGCGTTTTTGGAGAGTCGTGGTGGGTAAGATGTTGAAGAGATGAGAGGCCATATATAGAGCTTCCACCCAGAAGGTGGGTGGGAGTTGGGCTTGGAATAAAAGAGAGCGAACAGAATTATTTATAGTACGAATAGTGCGTTCTGCCCGTCCATTTTGTTGACTGGTATGGGGACAGGAGAAACGGAAAAGAATGCCCAGGGATTCAAAAATATTTCGGAGGGGCCTGTTTCTATATTCAGTACCATTGTCACATTGCACAGCTTTAATGGTAGTGTTAAACTGGTTTTTCACAAAAGCTATAAATGAATGAAGATGGGAACAAGCTTCAGATTTACTTCTAAGAGGAAATACCCATAAAAATGAGAATAATCATCTAAGAGTAGCATGTAATGTTTAAAACCAGTAACACTAGTAACAGGCGATTGCCACAGATCAGTATGTAAAAGCTGAAAAGGAAAAGTAGAAATACGACTCGATGACTCAAACGGGAGACGAACATGTTTTCCCAACTGACAAGCATGACAGATTGAATTTTGTAAATGTTTAAAAGAAATAGCAGACGCAAGACAAGGGACTCCACGGAGAACGGCCAAACTCGGGTGACCAAGTCGACGATGCCAGAGCTCTGGACTTTCACTGGCAACGTGGGCTTGGGCTTGGGCATGGGTGGCGGCTGGTAGGCTCATTTGGTAGAGTGGACCCGCATTATTGGACCGATGAATCACGGTTCCCGTCAGCATATCCTTCACAGAAAAACCAGTGGAATCAAATTCAATAGAACAATTGTTGTCACGGGTAAATTGCCTAACGGATATAAGGTTATGGATAATATGAGGGGAGACAAAGATGTTTTGTAAGTGGAGGGGGGGAAAAGTGGGAAAATTATAATTACCGGTTGCCGTAGTACGCACTTTAGAACCATTACCGACAGTGATATATGATGATGAATTTAAAGAATGATTACGAACATGAGAAAGAGTACCTGGGTCCGAGGCAATATGATGTGTGGCGCCGGTGTCCATGTACCATTGTGGATCGCGGAGACTCAAGGTGTCAAAATTATGGGTGAGGGCGGTGGGTGTGATGGGGTTGGCACCAGCTGAGGTGGTTGTGGGTGAGGATGGCGGGTAGAGGGGGGCTGTCGGGTAGGGGCTGGGGTACGGGTAGAGTGCACTGGTGTGCGGGTAAGGTGTAGAGAAGTAGGCCTGTGGGTACGGGTGTGGATTCGGGCGAGGGCCGAGGAGACCCGGGTTAGGGTTTGGGTTGGTGAACTGTCCGGTAATCTGCTCGTGGGTGTGCCGTGCATTTGACCCGAAGCTTCGGCCGCGACCACGACCCCTCTGCTGTCCCCCGCGTTGCCGGTTGTGTTGTGACTGTCCAGGACTGCTCCTGCCGCTGGAATCTGCCCGGCCTCCACCAATGCTGCCGGACCGCCGTGAGTCGCCACTGCCGGAGCCACTACTGCCGGCGTATAGAGCCGTGCCACTGTCCCCCACAGCCCCGCCAGTCCCCAGGTCTGCCCGTTGTTGTTCAAGGAGGAGGAGGGCCGACCGGGTTTGGAGAAAAGTTGGGGGCGGCATTTGATATTGGAGGAAGGACGTTTGACCACGAAGATCATCCGGTAATCCACGGAGAACTTGGAGAACGAGCTGCTGTTCAGACACGGTGGCATCCACATCATCCAACCAATCCGCTAGGTTACGAAGAGTTTGGCAATAGGTGGCCATAGAGAGAGATCCCTTCGTGGTGGTGTGGAATTGGTGTTCAAGCTGCATTGCCCGGGCCGCTTTATTGTCGTGAAAGAGATTGTAGATGGACTTCCATAATTCCGAGGCCGATTTGGTAGTGGAAAGGACAAGATCACACACCTCATCATTCACTGTAGATAAGATCCATCCTTGAATGAGGGCGTCAAGTTGGAACCATTCGTCATCATCATCACTCGACGGTGACGATTTGCCGGTGAGAAACCCGCCCAAAGAGAATCGGCGGATGAGGAGGAGGAAAAGCCGGCTCCACTTCTTGTAGTTTGGCGCGGAAAAGCTGAGAAGAATCAGAACGTGTAGCTTTACGTTGGAGATAGCGGTGAAAGCCAAGTGGGGAGTCGGGGAGGAGGTTGCCGCGCCGGTGACGGGGGTTTTCTCGGACATGGCGTTGCCGGAGGAGAGTGAACTGCTTCAAGGAACTGCTGCCGATGAAAGAGAGAGAGGGGGCTGCGTCTGCAGAGAGAGAGACTGCGGGACGGGAGCTGCGTTGCTGCCGGAGATGGGCGGCGCTGCTGTTGTGGCGGAACTAGGGTTTCGGCCGAAAAGGAGGGTGACGCAGTTAGGGTTTTGTCGAGAGAGACGAAGGCTCGGATACCATGAAGAATTGTTATTTTCTATATTGAATAACGGAGGGCTAAGCCTCGTATATATAATACATGAGAGTCCTAACTACGGAAGGAGTCCTATACAAGGAAACTATCATGTATACAATGATTACACAATTAATACTAAATATATACATAATATATATTTAACAGTCCCAAAATACTTTATACTCCCTAAGTTCAAAAAAAAGGTTCTCTTTTAAATGAAATTATTAAAAATATAATTAAATTTAAGTTAATTATAAATACATAAATATTAAAGAATATTATAAATTGAGTAATCCTTGCAGTGGAAGTAGAATACAACAAGTGTTAAAGTTAGTAAAGTGCCCATGTGGAGCTGAGTGACTACTAATTTGGAGTAAGTAGTGGTTAGCAATCTAAGAGAAAAATACTTAATTCTAATTCGAAACTAAGACTCTGCAATTGTGGCCCACCACATGTCCGCCACCCATCACAACCCGCAACCACGCCCCACCAATGCAGTTGTGAATTGTTGCCCGCCACCTAGCACCATTGATAGCGCGAGGTTTCGCCACGATTTATTTTATTATCCTCTGTTGTGTACACTTTTCGACGGTGCCCTCTCTCGATCGGAATGCAAACCTGCCTCCCACACCAGAGGCAGAGAAGAAATTGAGCAAATTCGCACAAGAAGAGTTGGCCGAAAATAAAAAAATATCACCCTATTACATGGTTGTGGTGAGTGTACGCGCGGTCCTAACATTCTAAAGCATCATTAAAAGTTATTATCCAACCTCTAACAATGGTCACAAACTTAATTAGTGGCACTTATTAATGTGAGGATGGTCGATATGATTATTTGTTACCAAATTGTCAACTATGTTCAATTTGATTGTTGTTTTTATGAATTGTCAACCAAACTTATTCAACTCGGAATATAATTGCATGGGTTCATGCCATGTGTCTGTACTTCATATTTCGCCTGTTTGGACCGTTCTTTTTTATTAGTCCACGGAAAAAAGGTTCAATTTCGCTTTTGCGAATCTGCCGCTTTATTTCGAAAGGAGAATTGCATCATCATACACGTAAGCATGACTTTGTTCTTCGGAATGTGGAACGCCAAAAACTCCTTTACCCTCTAAAAACACTTTCTATATTGATTTTTAAAAGATTAGCATCTCTTTGGAAATAATGTTAGAAATTAGCATTAACACTATGAATAAAATTTTAATGGTGTAATTACTTTGAAAATGCTAAATGCTACCCGTAAATAGCATTATCAAAACGTTAACCCTATTCCCAAATAGGCTCTTGGAGTATTTTTTTCCAATTTATTCTTATTATTTACTCCATATTATTTAAAGAAATCACCAAAAATAAAAATAAAACATAGATAAAAGACTAAAATATGAGTTCCATTATTTTTAAAATAAGAGTTTACACTGTGGTAATGTAGCATTGTATATAGACATTTTATAACACTTTTGGTGATGCATACGATCATCATTGAAACTATATATGTATTTTAATTTCTATTTCAAAATTAAAAATATAGAACCCATATTTTCATATATTTTTAATGTTTTACTCATATTTTGGTATATTTTCTTATTGGAGTCATATGAGACAAGATTAGACTTAAGAAGTTAGACAAGATCAGAAATAACTTTAAAAATAACTACAATTAGATCATACCGGATCAGATGATGAGATTTTTATGAATCAGATGAGACAAAGAGAACAAGCTCTTAAGAGAACAAGCACAGGACCGAGAGAGTATTTTTTAGAGAAAAAAATGTGTGAATGAACCACACAAATTTTATTTTGATAAATTTCGTGACAATCTTACACACAAAAAAAACTCGTAAATAGTTACGAGATAGAAGATAGTGTTTTATAGACTAACATTAAGTTCTACTTAAGTCTTGTTCCTATGCATGTTTTTTCATGATTCTTTTGTGGAAAGGACGATGGATTGTTAGCGGATATTTGTAATTAGATGTAGATTTTTGTGTTATTGGGCCTGTACTTGTAGCCCATTTATGTACTTGTATATATATCGGTTTATGATCAATGGAAAACCAATTCAGTTGTGCTAAACTTTCTACATGGTATCAGAGCCTAAAACCCTAGGTTCTTTGTGCTTTTGCTCTCCGGCGTGCGTACCATTGTCCCACGCTGTATACCTTTGTTTTTCGCCGATCCAAGTTGCTGATTTTTTGCTGATTTTGCCGATCCATGTTGATGATTTTTTTTTCCGATCCAAGTCGCTGATCGTTGCCGATTCAAGTTCACGATTTGCCGATCCAAGTTGCTGATTTTGTCTTTAAAGAATTGGTCTTATGAATTACTCTTAAAGGGCTGCTGATTTTTTGCTACGTTACTGTTGCTGCCAATAATTGTGCCCGGCCTAATTTGTTTTGATTGGAGTGCTGCTGCCAGTAAAAAAAAAATCAGTTTTTTGTTAGAATTCTTCATGGTATCACGTTTATTCTCCATGCTGGATTCCACTCCTTCGTCATCTGATAAACTACAAGGTACGTCTGACTCTGTACCTTGCGAATGGTTGGTGGATAGTGGAGCTTCTCATCATATGACCGGTTTATTATCTTGCTTGACGGATGTTGTACCACGGTCTCCTTGCACTATTAGCTTGCCGGATGGAACCCATGTTGTGTCCACTTCGTGTGGTCGAGTGCACGTGTCACCTTCTCTTATCTTGCACAATGTTTTATATGTTCCTAATTTAAAGTGCAATTTGATCTCCGTCAGTTGCCTTGTAAATTCACATAACTGTCATGTTTTCTTTGATGACCATTTTTGTGTGATACAGGACCGCACTACGAAGACGCGGATTGGTCAATGTGAAGCACGCAACGGAGTTTATGTCTTTCCTTCTCAAGCCCAGGCCTTCAAAGCCGAGTCTATATCTTTGTTGCATCAGCGTCTTGGTCATCCATCCCCTCAAGTGTTATCTTTTCCTCCGTTTAATAAGAGCCATACTGAAATTAAAAATTTTCAGTCTTGTGATATTTGTTTCTTTTCCAAACAGACTCGTTCTCCTTTTACTCCCAGTATTAATAAAGCTGAACAATTGTTTGATTTAATTCATTGTGATTTATGGGGACCATATTCCCCTTGTATTTCCACTGGGTCACATTATTTCCTTACTATTGTGGATGATTTTTCTAGAGCTGTTTGGGTTTTCCTACTTGTTGAGAAAAGTGAGGTTACTAGTTGCTTGAAACAATTTTTTGCTCTCATACACACTCAGTTTCATAAAATCATAAAAGTTGTTCGTTCTGATAATGGAACTGAGTTCCTCAACCGGCCTCTTCGTGA